ATGAGCTCACGTGAGATCAGTAGTGTGAGATCTCGCACTACCGATCTTGCGTGATCTCGCACTACAGTACTTTAGGCCTCTGTTCTTTGGGAACTGAAACTTGCAAGAGCTCTTTGGCAAAAGGCTTTGCAAACCGAGAGGCCTTCACTCCGTTTGCAAAGCCTTTTCCCACAGATCTGCTACAGGTCTCCATTTGTAGAGAAGAGGGGCCTAAAATACTGTAGTGCAAGATCACTTGAGACCAGTAGCGCAAGAACACGGCCCCCAGAAGCTTCCAGTCTCACATGAAAAGTGTTTGCAAGCAGATGGGAGGCTTGAAGCAATGCAGTTTCACTGCCCCAAAGTCTTGTTGGCTTGCAAATGCTTTTTGTACCAAGAGTGCAAGCAGTCAAAGAAACCACAGCAGAGAGGCTAGAGAGGAGACAGTTTGCTAGGTCTTCACAAAGTAAATTACCTGGCACCACAGGTTGTGGGGGGAGCAATTGTGGGGACTCCAGGGGAGGGAGCATGAGCTATCTCAGTGGGTCAGAGGAGGCCTTGGGTGGGTCTGAAATACACTATATTGCCAAAAGTTCACCCATCCAAATAATCAGAATCAGTTGTGAGCGAATATTTTTGGCAATATAGTGTAGGTGGCCTGTTCCATTGCTAGCCCCCCCCCCCCTGGCCTTCCTCACCTGGAGATACCTCATGTGCACTTAATGACCAGTGCATTCGATTAGCAAATGTGTGGGCAAAAGGGAGTTACCACATTTGTTTTACGTGATTCACTCCAACAAATTCTTGGGTTACGAATGTAAACATTAAATTTGTAACTCAAAAATTACCTGTTATTATTTTTATTTTCCCTCCTGCTCTCCAGTTCATTTGCTGAGTTAATTATTGATCCAAATTGAAACTAAACAACTTGAGCTCTCTTTGCTAATTATATTTAAGAAGACTGCACTGTACCAAAAATGAGGTATGCTTCTGAAGCACTTGAAAAGAATTAGTCAGTATTAAATTCTATAGTTGTTTGCTGATCTTTACAGTTTCCAGTTGCCTTGCCTTCTTTCTGCTGAAAATTTTTATTTGTGCAATTGCCATTTTGTATTGAGGTACCAATAAAATCAAACAATATGTACTGAAAATCAGAAATCGGGGAAGAGAAAGTTGGCTTTGGGGACAGCTGTTTGCAATCTAATTGCAGTGTATAAAGTAAAGGTAAAGGTTCCCCCGCACATGCGTGCTAGTCGTTTCTAGCTCTAGGGGCGGTGCTCATCTCCGTTTCTAAGCCAAGGAGCCAGCGCTGTCCAAAGATGTCTCCGTGATCATGTGGCCGGCATGACTAAACACTGAAGACGCACGGAACGCTGTTACCTACTCACCAAAGTGGTCTCTATTTTTCTACTTGCATTTTTTACATGCTAGGTTGGCAGAAGCTGGGACAATAATGGGAGCTCACTCTGTTATGTGGCATTAGGGATTCAAACCGCTGAACTCCCAACCTTCTGATCAACAAACTCAATGTCTTAGCCACTGAATCACCGTGTCCCTTTTAATGGCAGTGTATAGAAGTGTCCATTCCTTCTCCCAACCTAAAACATAAGTAGTTGAAGCTAGAGTAATGTATGCTATATTTGACTTGACTATATGTCAAAGTAGTTCTATTCTGAAGTGAATTTCAGAAATTGTGAAATGTCCCAAATGAATGAGGTAGAACTTGTATCCTTGCTCTCTGTTTACCGGTTGGACAGAAAAGCTTTTTATAACTACCTGCTGAAACACCATCTGATCATATCACTTCCTTGCCACTAAAGCTATAACCACTGACGGTTCCCGATAAGAGTCAGGACGTTGCATCTTCATTCTTCCTCAGTCTCCTTAAAGGCCACCTCTCCCTCTTTTTCTCTGCTCGCTTTGGTGTTGGGAAAGGAAAGTTAACTAGAGAGAGCTGGTCTCTGGGAAGGTATCCAAGTCGTCACAGAAGTTGAACTGAGCCATCAAATTGCCATCAAAACCCCTTTTGTTTGGAAACGGACAAGAGGAAGGAAGTCAGTCAGCAATGGCTGGAAAAGGGCGTTATAAAATCGGCTTGTTTCTTTCCATAACCATTAACCAGGGAAGTTGCCCAGTGTGTGAACCCCCTGCCCAAGAATCTGGGAATGATTAACACTGCAGCCTTATGAAGGCATGAAGGGAAAAAATAGATGTCCACAGCCAGAGTAGATAAAGACTGAGTCTAACACCAGAACCAAAAGAATATCTCTGGAAAAAAAAACTCATTTGAACAGTATCTGATCCTTGCTATGTAAACATATGGCTGCATGAATGGAAAATGTTTTTGGAAAATGGATTTGATTCATAACTTTCTTAGGAAAGAATTCTTAGGAAGTTGGATTCATTACATCAACTCAATTTGAATGAAGTCTGGGATAGTGTTGATAGGTTTGCCACACACCCAAGTGCCAGCTTATGTATCAGTAACTGTATAACAGTTTGCGCACAATGGCAGCGGCTTTGCTGCTAATCTGGGCACATGCCAAGCCTATTAATTCAACTAGTCACTGCACGAACAGTCCAAGGGTGCTGAATGAAATGTCTGTTCTGCTTTTGAAATCTGTGAAGCCTAGCAACATTTTTTTTTAAAGTTACAAGAAACAGCATTAAACGACATAATTATATTTAAACTCAGTAAAGTAGCAAAAATAAAAGGGTGACGTTTTGAAAGGTTTACCTAAAACAGCAAATCTCCGCAATGTTTTCAGAAGAGTCAGGAAGGAAATGACGCCCAGGGCAAATCTAAAAGGCCATTGTCAGGCTGTCTCACAAACAGGATGTGTGAGTCCTCAATTGTGTAGTGGCAAAGTTGGGCATATGCCAGGGTCCCAAGACTAGAAAAGGGCTCCCCTAAAAATAATGCCACCACTTTTGCTTTCTGCAAGCTATTTAGGAAGTTGCAGTGAATGTTCTGCTTTTTATAGTTTGCAGGAGTGTGTGTGTTGTGCTATAACTGACGAATCCATAGTTAAGTCTCCCCAAATCCTGAAATTGAAATTCAAGCAACATGCAAGATGGTAGTTTCTGGATTCATTTGTATTGGTTATTTTTAGATGTTAATTATATACTTGCACAATTAATCCACTTTTTAAATTATGTAGTAATATCTACCTTAACTTATAACTAGCACCTGATAAGTGTTCCTCTCCTGGATTGGACTGATTAAAGTTCAACCTGGAAGGTACCAGTTTAGAGAGGACTATAACAATGCAACCATAGAGTTTGGACAGGTCCATGGAATATGGGGTGGTATCAGCAGAGCCATTGGATTATGATTTTGTCCATTTCTCACATAGACATTTACTGGGGTCTCATTCACAGCATAGTTTCTGAGAGATTCCCACTAAAGCATTGCTACTTTCACTGATACAAAAGATGATTCATTTTTGAATATGAATGCTTTATCTGAATGATGCAGTGGTACAGTGCTACAAGTGCTTTAATTCCATGGTCCTTTCTGGTTTTGTGCAACAAGGGAATGATAGGCCCAAACCTGATCTGTTGCCTCCCAAACAGAACCCAGAGTAATCTGAAAGTTGGTTTTTGGAGGCTGGAGGAATCGTCAATCACGCTCTGTATTCCATGCATTACACAGAGATAATCAGGACAACATCATTAAGCAGTGATTCAGAACAAATACAGTAGAGTCAGAATGGGGATCAGAAAGGGGGACAGCAAAATAGCAGTTTTCTGCCAGCTGAAACTTGGGTAAGTAGCTCTGTAACTCACCAGCGGAGAAGTACCCATATAGATGTTCATTCCTTGAGTGGCAATAGTTGCTACTTAACTCTAAATGCAGGTACATTTATTTGCATATGTAGTAGTATGTGGCTTACAAGGTTATTAACTGAAGCAGTGCCCTTTACTACTGAAATCACAAAGCCTCTTGTTTTTTTCAGCTAGCTTGACAAGATGTCTGTCCATTATGGTTTGTTTCATTCCAGAATCTGTGGAAACATGGAATGTATGTTTAATAAGAGGCGTATAGAGAACATTTTCTCAGAAAATAGGTAAAGCATTGTTGTAAATAACACTGTTAATGTTGCTAGCACTAGCTGATGAAACATTTGGGCTTTTGTTTTGTTTTTGCTCACCAAAAAGTTTTGCCCCTCAGTAAGTTTTAAGCACCAAACAATTATGTCCACCTATTTCAAAGAATGTGCTCTTCTTCCTGCCAAATGGATTAGGGTGATCAATTAATAGTTGATAGTTACCACTATCAATCTTTACATCACAATCTTTACACCACAATCACAAGGATATCAGACTAGTTGTTTCTGTTTATGCCTGGGAAAAACTTTTCAGATATGAGGTTTTAACACTAGTGGTAGGCATAAAAGGAACAAAAACCAAAATGTATATTACTAGCCACTAAATGTGTATTATGTCAACCATTTATAAAATAGTCATGGCCTCAAGAAGGAGGAAAAAAGCAAATGCTCTTCCAGTTAACAAGCACCTGTAGGCAATTTGTAACAAATTAGGGATTATGTGAAATCATCTACTAGTCTTTAAAAAGCATATGTCTGATATGGTTCCTTGTTTATTTGCATATCTTTGCCACTGTCTTTCATCCAAGCTTTATGTGACTCACAATGAAAAATAAAGGCAGTTTGAGTGAATAAATAATATTTATATGTGTGTCTAGATCTGATAGTAAGGAAAAATATGGTTTCAATGCATTTTAGTGATATTAGAAGGACTGTAGAAGCAGGAAAATGAGAAAAGTAGGACAAAATATCTCTATAAAATATATAATAAGCTTAGAAAGACATGTTTTGTTTGTAAGAATGAACTCTCCCAAATACAAGTATCAAGAGCAAGGTTGAATTTTATAAATGGGAAGGCTATTCTATAATTGTGAATTGTTATATTAAATAAATGATCAGTAGGTTTCAAAGAGCAATTTATTCCATTCAAATCACTTGTGATCAATGAAATATTCCTTATTTCTTGCTTAGAGGGGACTCTGCCACTCCTTAATCTAACCAAGAAGGTCTTCTGGAGAGAAACCATACATCTAACGTGGTTGTGAGAAGATAGGATTCTGTAAGTATAATGGAGCCAAATACAAGGCGGATAAATTCAATTTAACCAATAATTAAAATATGATAACTAAAAATTTGAAGGAAGAACAAAATAAAGAATTAGAAAGACTAATAGGACTACAAGTGACAAAGAAAGTTAAATGTCTTGGAATATGGTTAACTGCAAAGTGCTCAACTATAAAAGAAAATAATTATACAAAATTAGTGCAACAAGTAAAAAAAAGATCTAGAATTATGGGGGAAACTACAACTATCATTATTAGGGAAAATAGCAACGATAAAAATGAATGTATTACTGAGACTATTATACTTATTTCAAACAATCCCCATAAAATTAGAAAAACATTTTTTATTGAATTGAACAAGATTACATTAAAATTTATATGGCAAGGGAAGAAAGCCAGGATAAAGTTGAAAGCTCTACAGGATGACAGAAGCAGAGGTGGTATGGGACTCCCTGACTGGGAGCTTTATTACAAAGCAGCAGCATTAACTTGGATTAGGGATTGGATAAATTTAAAAAATTTAACATTAGAGGGCCACGATTTGCAAACAGGATGACACTTCTTCCTATGGGAAGAGGGTAAAAAGAAACAAAAATACATTCATAGACACTATATTAGAGATTCATTGATACAGGTCTGAAATAAAATTAGAGAAAAATACTACATGAAAATACCGACATGGCTTTCCACTATGGAAGCCATGACACATCCCAATACACTAGATCTATCAAAAATGGTTAGATATACTGAAATTTTAGACAGCCAAGGAAATTTGAAAACAAATCAAGAATTAAAGGAGCAAAATATAAATATAGACTGGTGGCCATACCTTCAGCTACAATCGAGGTGTAAAAAGATGTAAAAGAATATGGAATATACACAGAATTACAACAAATAGATAAAATTTTAATTGGCCTGGAAAATAAATTCATAACGAAAATTTACAAATATTTATTAGAAGTAACAGAAGAAGAAGAAAAAGTTAAAGGTTGCATGATAGCGTGGGCCAAAAACTTTGGAGACAGTATAGATCTAGGGGATTGGGAAAGAATTTGGAACACAAATTATAAACTAACACGATCAGTAGCAATCAAAGAAAATATGTATAAAATGTTTTATTATTGGCATTTACCACCAATGAGTTTTGGCTAAAATGTACCCAAACCTGAATCCGACCTGCTGGAAGTGTTAAAATAAAGTACAAGGGACTTTCTATTACATATGGTGGACCTGCCCAGAAACTCAAAAATTTGGAAATGGGTGCAAGAAATTACAGGGGAACAAATAAAATACAAACCCAAACTCTTTCTGAATAATCAAAGGGAAATATACAAAGAAAATTAAGTACATAACACATCTGCTGACCACAGCTAGAATAGCGTTTGCTCAATGCTGGAAACAAAATAATATCCCCTCAGATGAATTAGTGATATAAATTTTTTTGGATTGTGCAGAGATGGACAAATTAACACTAAAATGAAAAGACAAAGAAGAGTCGGAATATTATGAAATTTGGTACAAATGGTTGCAAAACCAGAATAAAATTAATTAAGCCGAAAAACAGATAGATAGATAGATAGATAGATAGATAGATAGATAGATAGATAGATAGATAGATGATAGATAGATAAGAGAGAGAGAGAGAGAGACGAAATATTTACATGTACATGTATGATGATGTAATAATGTTGATATAATGACTATAAGGTGTTGTAGAAGGAAAATAATAATAAAAAATCTGCTAATAAAAAAAAACTTGTGCTGGAGGGTTGTGCTTTATTTTGTGACATGTCAATTTCCCATTTACAGTTACCATAGTATTTAAGTAAATTCAGTGGAGTAGCGACCTTGATAAATTCTAATCTAAGGGCATATTGGCTGCCATTTTGGAGACCAAAAGTTAGATCAAAACTTTGGGAATACAGCATTCTTAGGCAAATGCTGAATAGTTGGCTGATAGGGGGTTGGGGAGAGTGATAGGTACATTCCAGTAACAAGAGTACTGAACTTCAAATACTGACATTCAAATGCAAAAATAGTCAAAGACTAGGGCTACTTCAAAATGTTAATACATTTCTTCTTCTGATTATGGCACCAGCATTTGGAGAAAGCATCAGCTTTGCAAAAGTTAACAATTGTAACAGGGTTTTTTGTGAATATAAGGCATTTAATATAAAGAATGCAGTAGGGCAGAATGAAACCTGTACCTCTTAGCCATATGTGAATGAGAAATTAGTCATATTCAAAGTGATTAGCTGTATAACTTATGTCTATAGAACATGACTATTCTTGTTCTTTTAACAAGAACTCTTAATTTGATTAACTAATATATGTAGGGCCAAAGGAAAATCCCCCATAGTATTCCTTTGGGAAAGAGTATTTAAGAATGGTTGCTGGAACTGGGTGTGTCTAGTCTGGTGAAAAGAAGGACTAGAGGTGACATGATATCAGTGTTCCAATATCTCAAGAGCTGCCACAAAGAAGAAGGAGTCAAGCTATTCTCCAAAGCACCTGAGAGCAGGACAAGAAGCAATGGATGGAAGCTAATCAAGGAGAGAAGCAACTTAGAACAAAGGAGAAATTTCCTGACAGTTAGAACACTTAATCAGAGGAACAGCTTGCCTCCAGGGGTTGTGAAT